TAATATGACCAAAATGCTGTAGCATTTTCCATAAACATTAAGCAAGCTACTAATTACTGACACAGACACAGTGAGGCTCTGGCTTTACTAAGGCAATGAATCAGGCCACTCTTTGTTTTTTTACAACTGTGGTTAAAATATCTTAGAATCATATTTATACCCCAAATCCTAAAAGCATTAATTAAAACGCAACTGCTCAAAGATCAGCTTTGTAAAACATATCCATGTCCAATGGGTAATGTCAAAGAATTATAGGGACTTGTACAGAATTTATGTCTATTTTCCTTTGCTTCTGAAACTCTTTTATTTTGAAAGGGAAAATTAAGGAGTGAGAGAAAAGCTTGAGGGCAGAACAATCACTTGTAAAACAGGGCTACCACCAATTATGATTTCAGGACATCATTAAATGCAGCTTGAAAAAAAATTGAAATGTTTGATAGTTGCAAGAACAAATCTATATCTGTAATATAGCCAAAGTAACTGCGCTGTCTTTAAAAGCCATTATGTAAATGTTTTTCACATAAGCAGTGTTGAGAGAAGACGCATAGGAAGGTACAGAGGTGAAATCATTGTGGAATGGGGGGATCCTAGGAGTTGAGGAAGCTAGTGAGGACCCCAGTGTTTAAAACCAAGATTCGATGCTATATAATGGACATTTTTAGGTCACTTTGCAAAATTGGAATGCAATTGGTAGCTTTTACATGAAAATGTTATATCAGTGTTCACTTTACTGGGAGTTGGTAACTGTCCAATATTTGGATAACATCCTTATTATAGAGGCCCAGGTAAGTGGGAAAGGAATATCTGGCAGCCCCAGAAACTGGGTACAGTTTAGAATATGGTTGTTTCAAAGAAGACAGCAGATCTGTAAAGCAAATAAACAAAAAACAGTCTTAACTATCTAAAAAATGTCTTATATTTTAGGATATTGTCTCCTATTATTTATTCTATGGGTAGGAGCAGGGAGAGTGTTTCAGACAGAGACAGTATAGCCCAGGTCACACTGTGTGGTCATGTAGCTTGCTCCTGAGATCCTTGAGGGTGGTCATGCATAAAGATTCTTGGATGACTGTCGTCCCCATGAGACTGTGAGCTCCTGGAAAGCAGAGACTATGTCTTAGTCATCTTTTTATCCCCAGCACATGAGAATGTCCAGTAACATGACTCATGTTAGATTCTTGATAAATATGTATTTTTATTGTGGTAAATACATACATATATATATGAATAAAACAAAGTATTTGCCATTGCAACATTTTCTACATGTACACCTCAGTGACATTAATTATGTTCACCAGGTTGTGGAACCATCACCACTATTCATTTCCAAATTGTTCCATCACCTTTAATAAATATGTATTTATTGAACAAATAAGTGTTTATCATAAGCAGTCTTTGAACTGTGTATGTTTGTTTTTTTTTAATAATTGTTTTCAGTGAAAGTTTACACAGCAAATTAGGTTCCCATTTGACAGTTTCCATACAAATTGTTCAGTGATGTTACATTTTTCACAGTGTGTCAACATTCTCTTCAATTGCATTCTGGTTGTACTGTTCCCAGTATTCTAGTTTCTCTGCCCCCTTCTTTGCTTTAGAGTAATTGTTGACCTTTTGGTCTCATATAGGTGGTTTTTTAGTGGAGCACCGTAGTCATGGGTGGTATCCTGTGTTTTGTGTGCCAGTCTGTTATTTGGCTAAAAGGTGACCTAAGGATAATTTCAGTTCAGGGTTGAAAGAGTGTCTCAGGGTGATAGTCTCAAGGAGTCCTCTAGTCTTAGCCGGCCCAGTAAGTCTGGACTTTGAGAATTTGAGTTGTCTTCCACATTTTTCTCTCATTCTGTCAGGATCCATTTATTGTGGCCCTGATCAGAAAGGTCAGTAGGGGTAGCCGGGCACCATCTAGTTTTTCTGGTCTCAGGGTAGATGAGAGCATGGCTCATATAGGCTGTTATCCCTGTAGACTAGTTTCTTCTCTGAGAGTTTGGTTTCCTTCTTTCTCTTTTGCTCCTGATGAGTAGAGACCAATAATTGTATCTTATTAGATGGCTGCTCACAAGCTTTTAAGACTCCAGACACTACTCACCTCACTAGGATACAGGGCGTGAACTTTGTGAACTGTATTATGCCAACTGACTGAGTTGTCCCATGGGACTCATGTCTTAAGCCTTCAAACCCAGAAAACCAATCTCACAGTGTTTGGTTATGTCTGAGAAGTATCTGTAACCATGTCCTTTATGATTTGAACTACTTTTTGTTAGACTTCCTTTATATTAAAATATGATATGTTGCTTATAAAAAGGTCTGAAGTAATGAGTTTTCAAAAGCTCCTTCCCTGGCTGTGCTGAGGGCTGCTTTCTGAGAAAGGCTCTTTGACAGGTCAGCATTTCCCAGCCCTGTGTCCCCTGTCTGTTTGCCCCATTGTTTTCTTTGCCCTGTTGATTTGGCCCTTGGTTAGAGAACCTGGCCAATGGAGCATAAGGGTCATGCTTCAGCAGTGTTGTACATGAGCTTCCACAGAGATGAAGGATCCTTGCAACTGTATACTGTTGTTAGCTGCCATTGAGTTGGCCCCCAACTGATGGTGACCCATGCACAATGGAAAGAAATGCTGCCCAGTCCTGCACCATCCCTGTGATCCATTGCAGATCGAACTATGTGATCCATAGGGTTTGCATTGGCTGATTTCAGAAGTAGATCTCCAGGCCTTTCTTCCTAATCTGTCTTATTCTGGAAGCTCCACTGAAACCTCTTCAGCATCATAGGAACATGCAAGCCTCCACTGACAAGACAGGTGGCTGCACGTGAGGTGCATTGGCTGGGAATCAAACTGGGTCTCCAACTTGGAAGGCAAGAACTCTACCACTGGCCCATCAGTGCCTCACAGCTGTATACCATTCACTGATAAAGGAAAGCATCAGGTCTCTAGTATCCTCAGGAAGTTCTTCCACGTAAGTGAGGTGTCTAGGTCACTGAGGATTTACATTTTAACTACTGTGCCAAAAAAAATACTGCCGCCATTGAGTTGATTCCAACTCCTCGCAACCCTGTAGGACAGACTAGAACTGCCCCATAGGGTTTCCATGCTGTAAATCTTGACAGAACAGACTGCCATATCTTTCTCTTGCGGAGTGGCTGGTGGGTTTGAACCACCAACCTTTCGGTTAGCAGCCAAGTGCTTAACCACTGCGCCACCAGGGCTCATTTAACTACTGTTAGTCATTCCCAATTTAATCATTCTCATTCTAAAGTATATTAGGCATTTCCCTGTATTATTAAAAAAGAAAATCTTGGGTTTTTTTTTTTTTTTTTCTCCTTAATAATAAAGGCATGTGTTTGCAAGGGTTTAATGTCAGCACTTATAGAGGGTGTGTATGACTTTTGCATCTATAACAAATGACTCCAGGCACCTTAAGACATACAAATATAAATTTTATAGTCTGCCTGTTTGCTACTTTGTAATTAGTATGTTGGTTGAAACTTGTAACTGCTGTCAGCATAGTTACCTTTATAACCCCTCACTTCTTTATAATCTGTTACTACTGACAAATGGTAAAATTGGAAACCATATAACCAAGATTTTGTTACTTGTTTGTGTATTTTTTTAAATATGTGTTCATTCACCAAGTGTATGTTCCACCTAACATAGTGCTAAGGACCTGAGTGAGACGTGGTCCTTGCCCTCCAGGAGCCGGCCGGGGACGGGGGTAGGGTAGGGGTTGTGATAGAGATGTGGACCAACGGGAGCATCTACACCAAACTGAAGTGGTAGTCAAAAAGTAAACTGCCACCTCATCGGAACTATGCTCAGAGTAAAAGTGACTGGGCTCCTAGTAACAGCCTGAATCCCTTAATCCATTCAGTGCATAAGTTTCACTGCATATGCTTTGTGGCATCTGTTTTAGCTACAAAGACTCATTTCCTGTGCCTGTACTGTGTTGTAGATAGTAAGATTCCATCATGAGCTGAGCTTCAGATAGGGAGGTCTTACCTGAAATCAATGGTCTGCCGTATATATATCTCACCATTAGTGATGTTACATTGGATCGCTTGGTTAAGGGGCTGACCCCAGATCTCCCTGTTGTAAAGGTGCAGTTTTCCCTTTATAATAGCATAAAGTTTAATAATATATATGATAATAGATAATTTATAGGGTAATACCTTGCCATGTGTCTTGTTCTCCAAAAACCTCTCACCTAATGTTTTCTAGTCCATCGATGATCCTTCGCTGAGTCAGTCATTAGCTACGAGTGTTGCAAAACTGATTTTTCTGGTTCTAGCATTTCTACATTTATTGTGCAGCAGTAGTCTGTAAAGAAGAGCTTTATAGTCTCGCTCTCTTTCTCTGTATCTTTGTGGACTCATAGATAAATTTTATTTATCCAACACATTACAATAACTTATTCCAGATTCACTTTGTACTTTCCTACCCCATCCCTGGAATCAGGCCATTTCTTAAGAAGCCCTTTTAATGCAGAATGGCATTTAGAAACCAACATTTTTGGTGCAGGAGTGGTTGCTGCTCTTGAGATGTCATTGCTCCTAGGCTGTTTCAGTGACTGAAGCTAGGGAATGTGTTAAAAGAGAAAAAACACAGTCGTATTGATGTTTCTTCTATAAAGTATTAAACTGTTATAAGATCTGTTCTCTTGTTTATTAGAAATTCAGTTATGGTGATGCTTTGAATTTATCTAAGAACCTTTCCTCTTAAATTTAAAATCCCTTTGTATCTGCTACTCATTTCTCTGGAGGGAGAAGGGACATGTAACTTGAGAGAAAAAAAAACAGTGCTCAGAAACGTAAAATAAGTTACCCAAGAAGACGCAATCATTTAATCACGTGAACTCCTTCCAAGGGTATGTGTACTGTTTCTGTAATGGAAAGGGATTATTGAGAGTCTCTCATACTTTTTGGTAAATTCCTTTCGTATCATGTATTTGCTGCATATCTAAAAGACATTTTTAACACTGCCAGTATGTGTAATTTATTCTGGTTGCTTTCAGGTGCGGCTAAATCAAGTCCAGCATCTAAACCAGGATCCACACCTTCTCGTCCCTCATCAGCCAAAAGGGCTTCGTCCAGCAGCTCAGCATCCAAATCTGATAAAGATTTAGAAACACAAGTCTTACAGCTTAATGAACAGGTAACTCATCATCCCCACTTATGTCTCTGGGAGCAGTGGAATGTGTAAGGGGTGAGGGACCAGAACCCTATAGGCCTGGGATAAGGGGAAGGGGTGGGAGGTTGAGGCAGAGTCAGTGGTTTCCAGCAAGTAAGAATGGAAGGAATTGTTTAGGAAGATAAAATCAGTGGCCTGTTATGAATAGAAGATGATGATCACAAATCTCAAAGTTACACAGTAGGACAGAAGAACAAATGGCTCAGCCTCGGGTAAGTGCAAGCTTGCAGGCCAGCCTCCCCTGCCCTTTCTCTGTGGTCATTGTGAGCTCCAGGCTGACTATGGCCTCTCGGGCCCACTCTGATCAGTCTAGAGAGTGTTCAAAGCTGTTCTAGGGTTAGTCTGTCTCCCTCGCTCCCTCCCTCTTTTATTTCTTCCAACACCTATTTGTTAAGCCTGTTGTATGTGCTGGATACTGTGCTCAGTGCTAGTAATATAATGGTGAGCAGGATAGATACAGACAACAATGGCCCACGGTAGGCTATTACACAAGAAAAACAAAATCCTCGTATTTCCCACAGTTGGGAAATTCAGTGCTACAGGAGCACTGAGCCTGATATTAGGGGGTCAGGAAGGTGACAGTTGTGCTTTAAGTGGAAGATTTTTCCTTTTTTTATCCAATAGTCCTCATGTTTGCAGTAAATCTAGCTCTACTGTCTTTGAAATTTTCAGTACAAAAGGCGTAGGTATGCTTTTTAACAAACAATAGCCAATTTTGCCCAAGATTATAAAAACCAGTTGCCATCAAGTCCACTCTGACTCATGGCGACCCTATGTGTGTCAGAGTAGAACCATGCTCCATAGGGTTTTCAATGGCTGATTTTTTGGAGTAGATTGCCAGATATTTCTCCGAGGTGCCTCTAGGTGGACTCAAACCTCCAATCTTTCTTTTAGCAGCCAAGCACATTGACAGTTTGCCCCACCCTTGGGATGGCCTAAGATTACCTGTAGTTAAAAAGTGATAAACAAATGGTAGAATAGAGCCCACTGCAGAAGCCACCTAACCTCACCCTGTTTTATCCTGGCTGCTCCCACCACTTAGGGAGGAGCCTTTAATCAAGGTCCTGGGGCTGTTTCCCAGCCACTCAGGAGGCCATTTCAGGTGACTAATCTTATTCTTGATGAGCCAGCAAGAGTCTGAAAACTGTCTTTGAGATAATTGTATACAGGCAGTCCCTGGGTTACAAATGAGCTCTGTTCCTTACTGTGTCTTTAAGTTGAATTCATAGGTGAGTCAAAACAGGTACATATATGGTTCTTACTTAGCCTTCTGTGTACTTTCCTGCAAGAAAAGGCTCAAAGCCTTTTCAGTAATTTAAAAGCTGCCCGTGCAGCAGGTGAAGGTGACTGCAGTGAAGAATTTGTTGCAGGTAGGTTTGGGAGCCCTGGTGGCACAGTGGTTAAGTGTTCGGCTGCTTACCAAAAAGGTCGGCAACTCGAGTCCACCAACCACTCCTTGGAAATCCTATGGGGCAGTTCTACTCTGTCCTGTAGGGTCACTATCAGTTGTAAGCGACTGGATGGCAATGGGTTTGGTTTTAGGTTTTGGAGGGGTTGGTTCAGTCCTTTCAAAGTGAAGGCAGATTTGCATAACATTAAAGAGCAAGTATGAGTTGTCTGTAACCTGGAGACTGCCTGTATTTGCAATCAAGAAACTACTTTAAAAGCAGAAAGTTGCTTAGCTAGGGTTTCTTTACCATTCTGATCACTGTAATGCAGAAGGTAAAACGTGAAGTCATCCAGTAGGCAGGACTCTGATTTAGAAACCGTTGAATGTTCCAATTACCTCCTGCTTCTCAGTCTGAGCCTATGTAGAGTTTCTAGTAGTAAGTTCATCTCAGATCAAAGGGCAGTTCAGACAGCCGCACGAATCTTGGGCTACATGCCTGAGGCCCCAAGGAAATCAGAGTAGACCTAAAGAAGCAGGCATTGGGTCTGTAATACTTTGGATTTATAGCTCTCCTCTCATTGGAAACTCACATTCTTTTGGTATCTTTATTAGCTCATGTTTCTTCATGACCCCACTCACTCCTTTTTTTTTTTTCTTTTGTCTTTCCGCTCCACCATAGCCCAGTTCCCAACCATCCAGCCCAATTTATAACCACATGGAAACCTCAAGGTCCTTTCTACCCCTCTCTCCAGCCACACTTCTTCTCCTTGAGGCAATGTGTAGGCCCCAGTTAGCTCTCCAAATCACACAAAGGGCCCCAATACCTCCAGGGGATCCAGAGCTCTAAAACAACTCAGCTGAACCGTCGTACCACCCAAAATGACACTCCAGAGAAGACAGTGTGAAAAGAGAGGAACAGCCCAATGGTCTTCCCCCTTCTTGTTGTAATTCCTTCATACTGTCAAAAGGCCTCACTTCCCGCACGTCCCCGATGCATCCAGATTGAGTCGAAGTGTGCGTGCCCCATCTCTGTCCCTCAGAGGGAGAGTCTTACAACACCCTACATTGTGCATCATTCATTCAACAAATATTTACTAAGCACTTACTCCATATCCATCTCCTTGGTGATTTGTTACTACTCCCTCCATCCTCTGCCCTTGAAGCCGACAAGGGCGACTTCCTGACATTGATGGGAGCCACACAGGCAGCACTAGGTTGCACCTGAGAATTCTAGGACCAAGGGAGGTTAAGGGAACATGGTTAGGCTGAAGAATGAATTACAGTAGTAATAGAGACAGTGACAAGTGCCATAAAGCTTAAGAATTTTCATTTGCTTGGCCTCATGCCTCTATTCAAGTAGCCTCTCGTGATATACTATAAAACTACCACTGTGCTAGACAGTTCCAATGATAGAAATGAATCAAAGGACGTAGGGGAGGAAGACATAAATAATTAGGGACTGTTTCTGGACAGTGGGTTAGCGAACGGGTTGTGGTGTGGAGTCGCTGCCTTGCTCAAGGACCACCGGCAGGGTTGGAGGGTGGCCGTTGGTTAGCCCAAGCACAGACTGTGGCTTATGACCCGGACTGCAAGGCCTGGGAGGACCTGCAGTGTGTGGACATACTAAGAAGAGTGAGGAGAATCCTGAAAAGCAAACCCCTTCTTTGCCCCTTCCCTCTTAACTTTTCTCAAGGTCTATCTCTAGCATCTCCTTCATCTCTTAGGCGCTGCTGCTAACAGAAAGGTCAGTGGTTCAAATCTACTAGCCGCTCTGTGGGAGAAAAGACCTGGCAGTTTGCTCCCATAAAGGTTGTTGTTGTTAGGTGCCGTTGGGTCAGTTCCAACTCAGTCCCATAAAGATTACAGCCTAGGAAACCCCATGGGGAAGTTCTGTTGTGTCCTATAGCGTCACTATGAGTCGGAATTGACTTGACGGCACGCAACAACAATAGGGTGGCCTTGACCTTGACCTTTGTGAGTGGGACTGTGAAAATTGGGAATTTTGTATGCCAATTGATCTTTCATCATGTAATTTAGCTACTATTGGCTTTTACTAGGGAATGTTTATAGCTGAGCAGCAGTTACCTAATGCATCTGGAATACCACCAACTGGGTTGTGTATGTCTACAAAAGCCTCAGCTGTTTGTTCATTGTGCAGACCAAAGCACTCTTGGAAGGCCAACAAACCTCATTCTCCTGGGTTGAGTGTGTCCAAGACACACTCCTTGCCTGGTGGTACAGGGAGAGCTGAGAAGTGGTAACATACCATAAACTGCCACAAATCCATCTGCTGGCACCAGTGTAGACTTGAGATGGATTCTGTGCCCAAGGCCAACGAGGTGGTTGGTTAGTTTTAAGGCAGGAAAGGATTTCTAGAATAAAGAGGGTTTTCTTTTCCCTGGAAATTCTGGGTGGTTGCCTTCAGTTTTTATAGTATTAACAAAAATATAATAGGAGTTAAAACGTTAGCAAACTGACCCTCCAATGCTTTGTTGAAGTGGTTCACAGGCTTTCTCTGAGAAGATAGTTTTGATTTTCTTTAAATCTTTGGATCACTTGACAGGTTGGGGAAATGCAGGGCTGACAGTGAAGAGGTGAGATACTCCTTCCCCCAGGGAATCTTCACAGACCAAAGAGAGGAGAAACAGCAGAGTTTTCCTTTTAGAGAGTTCTCTATCCACCAGCAAACCCCCTGGGCTAAGGGAAGGGAAGTTGATCACTCCATGAGAGCAATCTCCTTGCGTGGCATAATACACCCGTCTTACTCTGTAAATTGTTTACCTGGAACTCTGAGAGTTTAAGTCCTCTAAAAGATGCTGGAGAAAATCTGGTTCTCTTGCCAACGTAGTGACACTCCATCGTATTAGACTGCAACCATTTCCAATAGTTGTTGCTGTTCAGCACATGTCTCTAGATTCTAGTATCTGTTGACTCTCCAGCATCACAGATGCTCATCCACTGGGCTTTTGTCAGTTTAACAGACTGCTTATACCAGGATCTAGTTGTTTTTTAACCAGGTTTAACGTGATTACTGTGAGACAGAAATAGCTAACTCATTCAACCAATACTTGTTGAACACCTGCTTATGTGGCAAGCATTGGAGATACAGTGGTGAGCAGAACAGACAAAATCCCTGTCCTCACAAAGGATCTTACATTTTATTGAGGGAAAACAATAAACAAATATAAATATGTCAGGTGGTGATAAGTGCTATGAAGAAAAATAAAAGGAGTATACAAGTGCTTTGCAAAGTTCATCAGTTGTCTAAAATCCACACACACACACACACACATACATATACGCACACCCATGCACACACATGCCGAACAGTTCCTAGGAGATTGTCACTGTTAGAATGAATCAGCTTCACTCTGGAAACAAATTGGTCATGTAAGTAATGCAGCCTTGGAAATAAGTATCTGACTCTGAGAAGCCAGTTGTAATTCTGCCCAAAGAAATCAGTTGTAGAACTCATTCTGCTGATTGTTAAATAGGATTTGGCTTGTGGGGGAAATCAACGAGCATATTTTCTTCAAAGTAGAAATTGACACTCTGTCTGCCCTTTGTCAAGGAGCTGTTTATAGGTCATGGAAGAGGTGAGTAGGAAGTGAGAGTTTTTATTCACTTTTAGTCAAGAAAAATTCACTCATTAATTGAGCATTCCCTTATTTTGCTCCTACCATGTGCCAAACCTGGTGGCGCAATGGTTATACATCGGCTACTAACCAAAAAGTGGGTGATTCAAACCCATCCAGCAGCTCCACAGGAGAAAGGCCTGCTGATCTGCTTCTGTAAAGATTACAGCCTAGAAAACCCTGCGAGGCAGTTCTACTCTGTCACATAGGGTCACTATGAGTCGAAATCGACTCGTCAGCACCTGACAACGCATGTGCCAGACCATAGTCTGCTCTTGAATTGTCCATTATCTGGTGGGAGAGACAGACATAGAAATAACAACACAAAAATGAAAACTGCTCTCACGGAGATAGAAGGAGAGGGCAGAGGATGAGCAGCTATGTGAAGGGGTCAGTGGTATTGTCACTGAGGGGCCACATTCCTGAGTCTGACAGGATAAGTGAGAGTTTACCAGGTGAACAGACAGGGGATAGACACAGTATGTGCCGTATATCTGTTTGAATGAATCAATAATTTATCTCCAGACAGATAAATACCATGGACAAAGGCCCAGAATCATGAGATTGAAGACAGTTTTGCATTCAAGCATAATTTTTAAAATTCTGTTAAGGATGATTTTTAATAATGGTGAAAGAGAGGTTTCATGTAAAGAGGACCATGAAAGACTTAATTTACCTCCTAAAGAATATTCTCTGTGTATATCAGTGTACACAGGGTCAAAAACTTGGGGAATTCTCAGAGTCCAGGAAGGGGGTTAGAGTTTAGGCCTGAGTGTGACTGCTGTGCCCATAGGAGTGTGGCAGCCTGAGGTTTGAAACTGGATCCATGTGCACCCCATCAGTGTTCTTTCAGGCCCCAGTGCTCGCCTCCTTCCCTTCTCTAGCACTACGTCTGTAATTACTATGAGAAGCTGCACAGAAGTAGAGCCTCCATATCTGCCCTCCCTTCTAGTGATAATGCCCAAAGCCAGAAGTCGAGAAATGAAGATCTGTTCCCCCAGGCTTTTCACTCTCAGCCCCTCTTCCTTGTGTTGCCAAGAGCCTGTTTCTCAGTAGAGAGCATTTGCCTCATTTGGCTCAGTATCGTTTGTGAACAGGTCCAAAACTAAGGATGGCTCTTAATCCAAGTGATCTGAAGAAAGGAGAGTCCTCAAAATAAACCTAACATAACCAGTCACACCCCTCTCTGTCATCTCTCCGCCTTCCTCCCATTCTCTCATCTCCCCTCCCTGCAGATTATGAGCAAGTTAGGTAAGAGATGTGTGCTCTAGCCTATGTTAGCAGAGAGGAAGGCTTACTCGGAGCCTGGGTGGAGTGTGCCCAGCAATGACCTCTCTGACATTGGCTAATAAACACTCAATCGACCGAAGGGAATGAGTCGTGTGTTATGAGATTGGACATTTGGGCCCAGGCCCAAGCTCCGAACAACAGCCCTGTTGTTTCTGCATCATTCTCTTCATGTTTTGGGTCTTCATACTGCAGGCATAGTCGTTTACTTATTTTTTATAATATGTTTTGGGGTTTCTCTTCTCCACACTTGTTTTCTTGCAGGTACATTCATTAAAACTGGCCCTTGAAGGTGTGGAAAAGGAAAGGGATTTCTACTTTGGAAAGTTGAGAGAGATTGAGCTACTCTGCCAAGAACACGGGCAGGAGAATGACCTCGTGCAGCGACTAATGGAAATTCTCTATGCTTCAGAAGAACACGTAAGTGTTAGGGGCCTTGACTCTTGTGCTCTGAAATGATTCCCATGGTCACAGTGCAGTGTGGATCAGCGTGCCTTCGAACACCTCCCCAGGACCTCAGGGAGAATTAAAACTCAGCCAGTGCATTTGATATTCCTGGAGGAATACAAATCATTATGATCATGATCCTTTGATCCAGGCCTACATGATGTGCATTTATAAATTACTCTGGGAAGAGATAAATGCACGAGGGGGCGGGGGAAGTCTTTAACTGAGAGAAATGGGCTTACACAGTCACATCCCGCAGAGCTGTTTTCAGCTCTCCGAGCAAATGAGCAATAAGAATTTGTGTAAGGATTCTTTTTTCTTCATGGATGGTCAGATTGTAGTTAAAGAAGAAAATAGGTGCTTTTCCCATCTTCATAGTCCTCACAACTGTCTGTTTTTATTTCATAACTGGTTGTCTTGGTTACTCCTTGCCAATACAGAACTGTGGGGTAGCCCTTTGTCCCGAATACTTCTCGAAGGCTTCGTTTGTGGGGAGGACCTCCCAGCGGGGTTGCTGCTTACAAGTGAATGTGCTAAAGGGACACTCAGAATGTGGCTTAGTCATGGCAGTCGTAAGCATATGTGAGGAGAGGGGAGAAACAGATCACAAACAAGAATCTCGGGAAGCAAAGAGGAGAACCAACCAGTTGCTGTCAGGTCGATGCCAACTCTTGATGACCCCATGTGTGTCAGAGTAGAACTGTGCTCCATAGGATTTACGATAGTTGATTTTTCTGAAGTAGGTTGCCAGGTCTTTCTTCCAAGGTGCTTTCAGGTGAACAACCTTTTGGTTAGCAGCTGAGCAAGTTAACTGTTCACACCAGCCAGGGACTCCCAAAGAGAGGAAAGGGCAATAAATGCTAGAGACCGAGGCAGGTCACCCCAGTCTGCCAGGGCAGGGATGGAGAGGCCCCAGCAGCCCGAAGCAGGAGTGGGTGCCAAACAGAGCTTTTCCTTTCACAGAGCTGCACCGTGGAAGGCGAGAGACGGTTGTTTGAGGTTTTAAGCTGCTTTTAGGTCAGGTTGAAGCTGGTGGAATGGTTGGTTCCATCTGACTGGGAAGCCTGAGGATGTGCTGAGGGCTCTGTGGTTAAGTTGCATGTGTGCTAATATTTCCACAGAATGTAACAAGCCACCAGCAAGTTTACTTGATATCTTGTCCCAGCTGAATACCAAGCAAGTATGTACTCCATTTATAACTTAAAATCATAACGATGAAATTTCCCTTAACTCTAAGAAACTGTGTGTGGGATTTGGGGACCTCTAGCCACTTTTTTTATTTCCCCCCAGACAATTTTTAAAAATATTTTCTTGATTATCAGTAGTTCTCAATGTAGGTTTTGAAGTCCTGGGAGTCTGCCTGGTCAGGTCCCAGAGGCAGTGATGGGTTCAAAAAACACGGTTGTCAGCATTTTTATATCTGATGGAAGAAACAGTAGGTTGATTTGTAGTGTGTCTACAGCCACCAAAAATGGTATGTACACAATGCTATGTATGTAAAAAGTGCTTTGTAATCTGTCAAGCAATAGATGAATTACTATTCTTTCCATGAGCTTGTTGGAGAGTAAATCAGATAAGATCCACAAAACACTGTGAGCTTGGGTGGTGGTGCTGCTGCCTGTCCTTGATGGAGACTGCTCACGGTCTGGCGTGCTCCCTGCGTGTCCCGCGGAGAGGAAAAGCCTCCTCATTCTACCTTCAAGCCAGATCTCATCCCAAGAAGGAGTTCTGTGTAGGAGCACTATCAAGTGGACACCAGATTACGAGTTGACATGAGCCACTGAAATCCCTGGCTAATGATGGGCAGGCCAGCCTGACCTACAGACCACACGCATGCACGCACTCACGCACGCACGCACACACAGAGCTATGGTCTGGATTTAGAGAGCCATTCTTCCAGTCTTAGTCAATTAAAATGCAGACACCCCACGGAGAAGTAATATTTTAAAGCATCATCAGTTATAAGACTGAACAATGGATTTTAGTAAATCCTCTCCTCAAATGTCTGGGATGGGGAGTAAGGGAGAAGGTATAAACTTGCCGTGAGTCGATTCTGACTTATAGTGACCCTATAGGACAGAGTAGAACTGCCCCATAGGGTTTCCAAGGAGCACCTGGTGTATTCAGACTGCCATCCTTTTTGTTAGCAGCTGTAGCTCTTAGCCACCACACCACTAGGGTTTCCGGAGAAAGTCTATGTATATATATTTCTTTAATTCTCTCAAAGATCCTATTAGGTAGATATTGTTTGTATCTGATTTTACAAACGAGAGAATGTAAGGCAGTAGAGAGGTTAATACCTTTTTCAAGTTCCCAAAGTGAGTAAGCAGCATAGTTTGCGTTTGAATGAGGTGTCTGAATCCTAAGTTCATGCTTTCCTTTCTCCAAGCCTGAGCTACCTTTTAAATAGGGATCATGAATAGCCATAATAGCTTGCATTTATTGAGCATTTGGCATGTGCTAGAAGTGATGTTCATGTTCTATGTACATTATCTTATTTCCTATTCTAATCACATCCCTAGGAGGTGAGAGTTCTATTGCCATCTCCAGTTTACAGATATAATTACTTGCCCAGTGACGCATTTAATAAGCTCCAGAGCTAGGATTTGAACCTAAGTTTTTCTGACTTGGAGCCCAAGATCTTAAGGATTATGTTACCTGCCTCTCAGCATATTGGGTGCATGGGGAAAGAAGAAAATAAAGGTAGTGCCATTTGGGGGAAATGCTGAAGTAGACATTGTCTACTTGACAGTATTGAGTTGAACAAGCTCGTGTTGTTCAAATTCCTACCTGGCTTTTCTCCAAATAACTCCCCTTATCTCATTCTGTTGGTTTACACCTTCAAAAATTTTGTCTTGGTCTTTTTTTTCTGAGCATTCATCTGTTTAAGTCAATATCCACAGAGGATTTTTTTTTTTCCTGGCTACTTAAGTGGCTTTTTTAAATCCACCTTTGTTGTTCATCTCTGGCACTGTGCAGATATCATCAAGTAGAGAGAAACATGGTAAAGAGAAGAAAGACTGCATCATTACCATTTAAGTGTATGCTACCAAAAAAAAAACAAACCAGTTGCCATTGAGTCACTTCCGACTCATAATGACCCTATAGGACAGGGTAGAACTGCCCCATAGGGTTTCCAAGGAGTGGCTGGTGGGTTCAAACTGCCAACCTTTTGGTTGGTGGCCGAACTCGTAACCACTCTGCCACTCTGCTACCAGGGCCCCAAGTGTATGCTTAGGAGTATCAAAATCCAAGAAGAGAATTACTTAGAGGCAGTAACCAGGCAATTGAATCTAGAAGGAAAAAAATAGACTTAACACAAACTGCATGTGTGGGTTATCTGAGCAGAATTTTCAAACAGCTGCTGGCCCAATTTTTCTAGTTTTAGGATATTTTTTTACTGCAACTCTGTGTCTGGGCAACTGCAAAGGAAACACATCAGTCTCTACTGAGTTTTTTTATAGAGAATAAGCCTTTTGATCTGGAATATGCCAGGTGTCCCTGTTTAAAATGTGACTAGACCCATTTTTTTAAACTTTGGTTTCTCTATAGAAAGAAGGGGAAGAGTGCCTGCTACGTGCCTGGGCCAGTGCCTAGCTTTCCATACACTGTGTGTGTGTACGTGTGTGCACGCTCAGCTTCCTTGGAAGTGGACGCAAAGAGGCTTAGAAGCAGCTAACCTCTTATGTTTCCTGCTTCCCCACCTCAGGGTTCCAGGAATCATCCTGGACATCTTAACGCCTTCAAGCATTTGCCTTTCTCCCTGAGAATAATGAGTCTTCTTACTATGGCCACCTCCCAAAAGCATAGCCAGGTTTACCATCGGCAGGGGGTGGGGGGAACCGCAGTTGCCATAGAGTCAATTCCGACTCATGGCAACTCTGTGTGTGTCAGAGTAGAACTGCCCTCCACAGGGTTTTCATGGCTATGACCTTTCAGAAGCAGATCACCAGGGCTTTCTTCCAAGGTGCCTCTGGGTAGATTTAAACTGCCAACCTTTTGGTCAGTAGTCAAGTGCTTAACCATTTGCGCCACCATTGGGGAGTGAACTTTAGAAAAGCTTCTACCCTTGCCCACCTTCCCATGTATCTCGTGGTCTGAAAAGTCATCACTTTTGAAAAAAAGTGCTCAGTGGTTGCTTTGCCACTGCACACACCCCACCCCCTGCATTGCGAAGCATCCTTTTGCTCTACTGTGCTTGTTCCTGACGCTGAATCCAGTTTTCAGGCCATCCGCACGCTTCAGTGGTGAGTGCATGTGTCGTGTATGTGGTGTCTGAGAAGAAATGACAATACTGTGTTTGGGATGCCATTGGAATGACTGTGTTTACAAATCTGAGAGAGCAGAGATTTCTGATTGTTGGTCGGCCTGTCCCAGGACCCTCGTGAAGATGGGAGAGGTGCTGAAGTAATGCAGGTGCATTAGCTGAAGAACTAGGGCTGAATTACAGTGCACACTCTTCATTTACTGTGGATGAATGTGTCAACACTGCATTTACATTTCAGGTGGAGGTGTTTGCTGGAGAGAATTTCTTCCCCTAACCCTTTCTTTGGTGATGGCTGGTCTGTGATTTTTATAGTCAGACAATCCTAGAATATCATATGTTTGGAAGATGTAGAAATCCAGAAGGGGATTTTGAGTAGTGGAATTAAATAGGCAGTTCAATTCCCAGTTGTAGAAACATAATGGAAATTTCTAAAGCAAATCACCAACCAGGTGACCGGTATCTCCTTATCCTTTGCATTGTCTTTTCCTTTAATACTTTACTTGGGGACCACAGGTATCTGGATTTAGTCATTGGGTAGCAGTAAGTTCCCTTGTCGATCCTGTCAGCTGAGGTGGACCTGATTGTCAGCAGTTGCTTGTTTCCTGAGGGACTGTCAATGGAAACCACTGTTAAAATGACCTAAGGATTGTCTTTCTCCCTCAGCCAGTGCTTATTAGATACAGTCTGTGTTTCTGTCACTGGGAAT